GAGGATAAGCTTTCGTAGGTCTATTGGCTTCATCTTAGACAATGGGTGTGTCTTATTTTCCGGGAACATGGTATCCGCCAGGCACTGCTAATTCTTTACCTTCATCATTTCATTTAATCTTTGCAATAGCTATGCGGGGGTGCTCTTTTCTATCCCTATTTAGAGATGGTAAATCTGAGGTTCAAAGAGTTTCAGGACAGAGTGTCGGAATAAAGCCACGATTTTGAGTACAGATTTTGCCGCACTCTTTCAAACCCACGAACTTAACCGTGCCATCTCAGCCCACTTCTTAGTGTGGAGGGTTCACCTTATCAGCCAGAACACTGGCTCCCCAACGTGAGTTTTTCTGGCTGCATCGAAATGCCGGCCATTAAAGACAACAGCAGACCGGGCATGGTGGCTCACGCTCGTCATCCCACACTTGGGAGTCGAGGCAGGAGGATCACTCGAGGTCAGGGATTCCAAAACCAGCCTGAGCAAAGCGAGACCCCCATCTCTACTAAAAAATAGAAAGAAATTAATTGGCAACGTAATATATAAGAAATAAAAAATTAGCCGGCTGGTGGCGCATGCTATAGTCCCAGCTACTTGGGTGGAGGCTGAGGCAGGAGGATGCTTGAGCCCAGGATGAGGTGTCTGTGAGCTAGACGGATGCCACAACACTCACTCTAGCCTGGGAAAATACAAAAAAAATAAAAAGACAACCGCATACCCTGGCTGGAGCTGGACCCATCCTACTAAGGAAGCGTCCCCGAAATGGAAACACAAGCACCGCGTGCGCTCACCAGCAAACTGGTGTTGACGGATCAGCACCTAAGTGACACACAGGAGTGACATCTGTCGGGTGTCGGGCAGGTGGGAGGGAGGAGGGACGGGTGTAGACAACACGACAGTGAGACGTGCACCGTCTGGGGGATGGGCACGCTTGAGGCTCTGACTCGAGATGCGAGGGAGGCCAAGGGCAATATACGTGACCTTGACACTTGTACCCACAATATGCTGAAATAAAATAAAATGAAAAATAACAGCAATAGCGACACATCCGTAATGATCATAGCAAGGAAAGCAATGATGGCAGCAAAACGGGGTTCCCATACCCCGTCCTGCCCGTGCGGGAAGAGCAACGGGCTCCCGTTCTGCAGACTCTGGTCCCGGCCGCCGACCCAAGGACGACTGGCTTGGGAGGAGGAGCGGGTGCCAGGCGGACAGGTGGCCGGGCGGGGGCAGGTGGCCGGGTGGGGCGGTCTCAGGCGAGACTCTCCTTGCAGAGTGCGACTGAGCTGCGAGGCTTGCAGCGGGCCATCTGCGCACGGACTGCCTGGGCTGCATGGACGGGCCGTGCTGCAGGATGGGGCCTGCGTGGAGCCGTGCGGGGCCGCGCACTACCGGGACGGCGGCGCCTCTGCAGAAGTAAGCCCCCGGAGGGGGCCTCTCCCCGCCCGCGAGCGCGCGTGTGGTCGGAATATTCCGACTCGGAAATGTTTGCGAGAAGGTTACCCTGAGCCAGGTTTGGGGACCGCGACCCAGGACCACTGCCGAGGGGCCGAGGGCAAGAGGCTCGCCGGAGCCCGGTCACGGGTTTGGGATTTTTTTGTTTGTGAGACAAGTCTCACTGTGTGGCCGGCTAGAGTGAGTCGCCGTGCGTCAGCCTCGCTCACAGCAACCTCCAACTCCTGGGCTCAAGCGATCCTCCTGCCTCAGCCTCCTCCCGAGTAGCTGGGACTACAGGCATGCGCCACCACGCCCCGCTAATTTTTTCTATGTATATTTTTAGTTGGCCAGTTAATTTCTTTCTATTTTTTTAGTAGAGACGGGGTCTCGCTCTTGCTCAGGCTGGTCTCGAACTGCTGACCTCGAGCGATCCTCCCGCCTCGGCCTCGCAGAGTGCTGGGATGACAGGCGTGAGCCACCTCGCCCGGCCTACAGTTTGTTTTTTTTGTTTTTTTTTTTGAGACAGAGTCTCGCTTTGTTGCCCAGGCTAGAGTGAGTGCCGTGGCGTCAGCCTCGCTCACAGCAACCTCAGACTCCTGGCCTCGAGCAATCCTCCTGCCTCAGCCTCCAGAGTAGCTGGGACTACAGGCATGCGCCACCATGCCCGGCTGATTTTTGCTATATATATTTTTTAGTTGTCCAGCTAATTTCTTTCTATTTTTAGTAGAGACGGGGTCTCGCTCTTGCTCAGGCTGGTTTCGAGCTCCTGACCTCGAGCGATCCTCCCGCCTCGGCCTCCCAGAGTGCCGGGATGTGACAGGCGTGAGCCACCGTGCCCGGCCTGCACGTTATTTAAATCATCATGACTACAGATAATGGATTTCACGAGTGTCATTTTTTTCCCCAATAATTATAACATTTTAGTTTACAAAAACAATTAAGCCACTAATTAAGCAGTTAAAGCCCCTCATACTTTTTTTTTAAAGTGGGGTATTGTGTACAACACTTTCCTCTGTGAAGAGGGGCCAAAGGAAATTTACGTTAAGTGTGTAGATTGGCTCCTTTTCCCGTGGGCGGCACAAACTCTGCAGGCTCTTACAGGAGATTATTTCTTCCCGCTCGCTGGAATGAATGCAGGTAGGTTCAGCGCTGCTTTGTGTCACCTGACAAGCTTTCGGGTGGGTCTCTACGAGGTGCTCTCCTTGCACCCCCAGGGGAAGGGCTGGGCAGATTGGGGAACACTCGAGAGCCGTCTGAAAGGAGTTAGATTGCTCCCCGCCCAGGGCGGAGGCCGGGCCGTGGGTCTCCGTGCCCGTTTTGCAGGGAGGAGCTCTGAAGCTCAGAGAGGTGGAGGAGCGGGTCCCAGGCCACCCAGCCGGCTGGGATCGGAGTCGCGAGCAGAGCCAGGCTCCGGGGCCGCCGTGACAGTGCTCTGCCCAGGACACCCGGCTGTGCCGTCTTGCCGAGAAGACCGGGCCCCCCTGGGAAGGCCACAGGTGTCCCGGCTCACCCCGCTTGTGTCTTTCAGGCTGTGGCAGCCACTGTCTGCAGTGCCAGGGCCCCCAGGAGTGCAGCCGCTGTGAGCCGCCCTTTCTCCTGCTGGGAGCCCGGTGTGTGCGGGAGTGCGGGCAGGGCCACCGGGCGGACCTCGCCGAGCAGCGCTGCACAGGTAACGGGGACGTGGGGGCGGCGGCAGGCCGGCCGGTCCCCGGCGCTGGCTCGGGGGTAGCCAGAGCGTCCCGGACTGGACGCAGAGAGAGAGAGGCCAGCGCACGCAGCCTGAGCGGCGGGTGGGTCTCCGTGCATGTCTGCCGCCTGTTGGCCAACCTCTTTAAGACGCGCTCAGGGCTGTGGTCGCACGGCGGTCTGCGCTGCGGGTGGACGGCGCGTCTGTCCTGCTCGTGGGTGACGGGGACAGCTTGGAAACCGCGAGAGCTCGTTTCGCTTCACAGGCGGCTTTAGGGAAATAGCTGTGCGAACTCCTACTGAGGGCGTGTTGGAAGGTCACAGATTCGTGGTGATGTATTAGCTGGACGAGCACACTGCCGCTGCGGAGATGAAAGTGTGAGAGTAAAAGCTTTAGGCTGTCGGCCACAGTCCGCGCTCGGCTGTGCGCCTTCGTGTCACGGCTGTCGGCCACAGTCCACGCTCGGCTGTGCGCCTTCGTGTCACGGCTGTCGGCCACAGTCCCGCTCCGCTTGCGCTTCAATGTCACGGCTGTCAGCTACAGTCCACGCTCGCTTGCCCTTCGTGTCACGCTGTCGGCCACAGTCCACGCTCGGCTGGTGGCCTTCATGTCACGGCTGTCGCCACTCCACCGCTCGGCTGGTGCGGCCTTCATGTCTCGGCTGGTCGGCCACGAGTCACGTCGGTCTGTGCGCCTTCATGTCACGGCTGTCGCCCAAGTCCTACGCCTCGGCTGTGCGCCTTCGTTGTCACGGCTGTTCGGCCACAGTCCACGCTCGGCTGTGGCCTTCATGGTCACGGCTGTCGGCCACAGTCCACGCTCGGCGTGCGCCTTCGTGTCCA